TATTGTCACTTGTGCTAAAGAGAAAGCTTTCCAATTTTCTCAGAACCAAGGCTGGTATCTAGCCAACAACATTCGGTGGCTTGGGGCAAGTTTGAAAGGAAAATTTTACCCAAGATCAAAAACCTACAAAAAGGCAGAGGTGGACTTAGATCTTACAGCTTCTATGTGAATACCCAATTGATTTGCAGGCCAGTGAAAATTATCAGTGATTCTGATACAGAATGAATCAATAGGGACTCCATTTTTATGAGGAACGCAAAAAAAACAAAGAGATACAGCAAGGAGTTCACACTTTTACTGTCTTCTATAGGACCTGTAGAACCTTGAGAATATACACCCATTAATATCAGATAGACTAAAGCTCAAATAATGAATCTCCATTCGTTAGTTGGGGTCATGGATAAAGGACTTTTTATCTGTGGCAGGGGTTGTTTCATATCTGTGCTTCAAAGTCACATGGCATAAGAATATTAAGTTCTCAAACATCATGAATATTTGTGAATTTAAGAGTAGGGCAATTGGAGGCAGAGGAAAGTGGATCTCTGTGAGGTCAGGGCCACCCTCATCTACAAAGTGAGTTCCAGGTCAGCTAGGGCTACACAGAGAAACTCTGTTGCAAAAAAAAAAATAATAATAATAACAAAAGGAGTATGTGAGATGTATGAGTCTATTATATTAGTCTGCTAAAACTGCCAATACAAAACACCACAGACGGACAAATTATGCCTTCACTCATTCAAACCAATGAACTCCCTGTCATTCCTCAAACATCTAGACAGAGTAGTCTTTAAAAGCATATGCATTTCAACACTGTTCCTATTCCTCAAAGTTATCAGGCCAGACTCATTCACTCCTTTTCTTCAGATCCCAGAGAACCCATGTGCTGTCATTTGATAGTGAAATGTCAACCATAGATTCACATGTTTGAACTTTATCAGCAGCAGGGGGCACTATTTTGGAAGGTGACACCTCCTTGAAGAAGGTGAGTCTCCAAGGGTGAGCCTTGAATGTTTATATCATGGCCCTACTTCCTATCTTCTCTCTTCTTCCCAACTTCAGGCTAAATGTGATCAACAAACTCATGTTCCTCCCATCATGCCTTTCCTGGCATGATGGATGGTGTCACCTCAAATTGTAAACCAGAAAAAAAGTCTCTCAAGTTGCTTCTTGTGAAGCATTTGGTCATGAAAGGACATGTAGCAATAGCAGATACATAGCCTGAACTGGCCATCTCCTATGAGCAGATTGATCCTACCCCAATTGTCATCAGAGAAGTGTCATCCAGCAACTGATGGAAACAGACTCAGACCCACAGCCAAACATTAGGAGGAGTTCGGGGGATCCTGAAGAAGAGGAAGAGAAAGAACTGTAGGAGCTAGAGGAGTCAAGGACGCCACAAGAAAACACATAAGATCAACTAACCTGGGCTCACAGGGGTTCACAGAGACTGAACTGACAACCAGGGAGCCTGCATGGGACTGACCTAGGCTCTCTGCATATATGTTACAGTTGTTTAGCTTGGTCCTCTTGTGGGACTCCTAACAGTTGGAACTCTTTTATAGGCTTTTGGGACCCTCCTCCTCATACTGGGTCACCTCGCCCAGCCTTAATAAATGGGGTATATGTTTAGTCTTACTACAACTCGATATGCCATATTTTGTTGATACTCATAGGAGACCTGTCCTTTCCGAAACAGAAATGGAGGAGAAGTGAATTGGGGGGTGGGAACAGAGTTTTGCAGGGAGGGAAGAGAGGAGGTAGGGGAAACTGTGGCCAGGATGTAAAGTAAATTTATTATTTATTTATTTATTTATTTATTTATTTATTTATTTATTTATTTATTTATTTTTAAAAAAAGGACATCATGTCACTTACTCAATTTCCATTGCTTCTGCCTGATGTCTACTCTATATTTGTATCAGTAATTCACATTTGCACCTATGGATGTGCATGTTTATTGTCAATTCCCTTTATTGCACTGCAAATTCAATGAAGATGGAGATTTTTTTAACACTTTATCCCCAGACAAATGGACTAGCGAATGACATGCTCAGCGCCTGTGGTTTTGAATGAATACACCATGCTTTCCCCACAGGTTTGGGAATAAGGGTTTTGTGGAATAGCATAGATAGGTAAAGCAACTAGGACACATGGCATATGCTGAGTGATTGTACAGACTAGCTGTTGGGTGTTTTTGTGTGGTTTTTGTGCTCCCCTTCCTACTTCTGGGCTGGAATATTGTCTGCATGGAGCTTTTTGCAGATCTTTTGCATGCTTTCACAATCACTGTGAGTTTGTGTGTGTATCTG